TCCTGATGGCCCTCCCTGGCCCTGAAAGGAACATCAATTATCACAATAGCCCCAGACTGTGCTCCCAGCCACTATCCCATATGGCTGTGTGGACTCCAGCCTCCACAAGAGGCTGCCCCTGTTTCCATGAGGGAACGGTCCTACTTTGCCTGGTGTACATTGTCCCTCTACCCTACTACTTTTTCCCTGGCCCACTGTCAGGGAGCCTCTTGTCAGTCCTTGTCACCTCCCCTCACCACACCTCTCCTCTCCCTCTTGCCATGCACACTGGCACCTCTTTTCCTTTGGGAAAAAAAGTTTGGTCACTGGTTTGTCTCCAGCTCCTGGGCCTGAATCTGGCACAACAAAGGCACGGGAAAGGTTTGCTGAGTGAATAATGAGTATGTAAATAGATGAAACAACTGTGATTTGGAATGAGGCTGCCTGGTTTCTGGGGGTTTACCTGGGATCCGTCTCTGAGCTCTGTTGCCCAAGGATGGGCAGGCAGCTGCCCCCGATCATCTTTGTTCCATCTGTAGGAAGGGAGGAAAGACTCTGGGTGACCCAGGCAGGCTCCCGTGGGCCTTGGTCTGTGACTTCTACTGGGTTTGGAAAGGTGGGTGCTGCTCTGGTTCTTACAGTGGTTCATATCCCCATGTGGGAGTCTGCAGGAGTCTCACCCATGACCTTGCTGCCTAAGGGGCACAGACTGGGGGACTTTGTCCCTCTTTCAGAATCTGCAGTGACCTCCACGTGGTGATTTCAAAATCACCACCACCACCCTTCAGTGCAACTCATCAAAGCTGGGAGAGAGCTGTACTCATCCTCACTTACACAGGGACCTGGAAGGAAGTGGGCATCAGCCTGCCACACAGAGCCTGTCTCCATAATTCAGTTTTAAAGCATGAAAAAGGGAGTTGATGAAATTCCGCTATCAGCTCTGAGCCAATATGCAAAATATCTCACCCCCAATCAAATAGCTATTATGTTTTCATTCCCAAGCGGCGTCCGGCTTAATGAGCAGGAGACGGATGGGCGCTTGGGCATCTGCTCCTTGTGATAACCAAGGGGCTCGGGGCACTATGCGGGGCTGCTCCCAGTGCTGTCCTGGCAGTGGGTGACCACCATGGTGGCCTGTGGATGCTACTGAGCAGAAATGTGGTCTTGTGCCCAGACATCTCCAACTGGGCAGTAGCCAGGCAACAGGGCCAGCATCACCCTCACTATGAGTAATGGGAGGTGAGGTTCAAGACAGTGCTGAGGATCCAACCTGTCTGGTCAGGTCATAATGTTGTCTGAGTCCCTTTGTCTCCATGCACCATCCCCTTGCCTTTTCCTTGAGGATCGTGGGCAAGCTGTTCTGCCTTAGTTGAATGAGCCTCAGTTTACCCATTCACAAAGTAGTTGCAACCCAGACTTTTCACTAGGGGGATGTTTGGAATTTAGATAGGATTGGCCTTAGGTTCCCCACTCTACACCCTACTGTTCTTTGTCCCCATTCCCATGGCACCCAGTCTGGCTCACATTACATATTCTGTATTACCTCTACATACCAAGATAACCCAGCATAAACCCTCTGTGCCTTAGTTCCCCCATCTGAGACAGGACTGGAAGATGACCTCACCGGACTGTGTAAGTGAGAGAGGTAAAGGAAGGACATTTGTGAAGTGGTGATGAGCCAAGGCCCCTTGTACACAGTTTGTGCTTAATAACTGCTTTCCCCATCTCCTGGCCCTGCTGGGCCATTGGTGCAGTAACCAGTGACAGCTGGTGTTTGTAAAGCCCTGGGCCCCAGCACCCTGAGCTGCACTTTGATAGTGCCAGCGAGCTGTCCTGGGAGGCTGCAGCTGTGAGAGTTTCCATGCATAGCTGAGGAGATGGAGTACAGAGAGGGAGAATGGCCAAGGTCAAAGAGCAAGGACACAGTTTTATCTGTCACTCTGTCTGGTTGGGGACCCTAGCATAGGGCATCCTGGGGAGGGACAAAGTCCAGTCATGGTTCACGGATACCCCTGACATATAAGGCCAACTTCCCCCTTTTCTACACTCCACAGCCCTTATGGGTCTAGGTGCACCAGAGGGCCCAGTGCCAGCTTAGGCTCCATTGAAGCCAACTGAGGGCTCAGAACGCCAAAGCAGCCCCGGGCAGATGTGCCACATCCCATCTGCCGGCTCTCTCTGTTTGCCAGTGGTGATTGCCTCCTGCATTATCATAGCTATTTAATTGTTCTGGAACTGAATTAACAACATCAGAATGAACAGCCTTGCAGCCCAGCTTCTTTCTCCACGCTCATCCACAAGGCTTTGTGAGGGGTGCCCGCCTTTGTTCTTGTAAATGGAGGAACATCCCAGCTCCGGGCACTTGGGTGTGGGGGATCCACCTGGGTGGGCACTGGGTTGGGCTCCATGACATTGCTAGGGAAGGATGTTTCTGCTTGTGCCCCCTCATTGACCCAGCCCAATGCCAGTCCCAGAGTTCCTGAGAGCAGGCTTCATCCCACTGCTGGAACAAATAACTGAGACTCCACATGGCTTCCAGCCCCTGGAGCGGCACAGAGCTCCTACAGAGGGATGGGTGCTGAGCCTCGGCAGAGCTGTCTCCAGTGTCCTGAAGGGTGGCTCTGCTCAGGGTGGACCTCCACCACTGTTTTCCAGCCCTAGTTCAAGGTCATACTGATCAAGGCATGTGTGTCTGCCACTGTGGGCCTTAGCCCTGTTTCTGGTAGGCTGGGTCCAGAGCTAGCACCCACAGGACTGCAGCTAGGAAACCTATCTCATTTCCCCTTCCTGGGTCTTGTGATGTCACCGCAGTGCCCCAGGCTGAAGTTGGAGTCCTTCCTTTCCAGACCTCAAAAGCCAATGTGGTGGGACTCTGCTTTCACTCCCACCCACTACACTCTGTTGCAGGTGCAACTACCTTCTCCCACACATAGCATCTCCTGGTCTCACCCCCTGCGCTTGCCCTCGTTCTGGCTTAGGAACCACTATGGTTCTTTGGTTTTTCCTGCCCTCAGGAGCCACATGCAATGTCATAAGGCCCCTGCATCCTAGAATGCTGTCTGGCCATTTGAGGCCCATGTGAACAGGAGGTCACTGACCCCAGTAGTGTGGCCTGGCCTGGATTACAGCCACCATAGTCCTTCAGACACAGAAATCTGTTCCCCATCCCATCTGAAAGATCGTCCTACAAACCTGGTCCCAGCCTGGCCTCTATTCCATCTTCATGGGTCCCCATGCCATTGACGTGACCAATACCATGGGTTCCACAGTGGCTTAGGTATTTGATGTGTACTAACATGCGTTGGTATTGATGGCCCTGGCACAGGCCTGCAGGTCTCCACAGAACCCCCATTCCTCCTGAAAAGCTGCTGTCCTGGAAAGCAGCAGGTTTCATTAGCTGTGAAAGGCTGGGGGCCCCCAAGTGTCAAAGGGATGCATCCTAGACCATCCCCCTGTCTGAAGACACTGGCCTGCCCCCAGAAATGGCTTTGAAGTGGCAAGATCATTGCTCAGTTGGTAGAGCACTTGTCTACCATACACAAAGCCCTGGGTTAGAGTCCCACAGTGCATATACCAGGTATAATCCCAGCACTCAGGAGGTAGAGGCAGGAGCCTCTACCACAGAGTACAGTGGTTTTCAACCTTCCTAATGCTGCAACCCTTTAATATAAGTAGTTCCTCATGTTGTGGTGACCCCTAAACATGAAATTACTATGTTGCTACTCATATCTGTAAATTTGCAGCTGAAATGAATCGTAATGTAAATATCTGTTTTTCAATGGTCTTAGGAGTGACCCCCAGTGTGAGAGCCACTGACATAGTAAGTTCAAGGCCAATGTGTAATACATGAGTCCCTGTCTGAAAAACAAAACAAAACCAAAGATGGCTCTTACATGCCTTCTGCCCCTTCCTTTACCCTAAGGCAGACACCTCACCCTCAAGTATCCTCAGGCCCTGTGACACATGGCCTTTTAGGTTATTTTCTCTAGTGTCTTCAGGCTTCACTGCTCTAAGTCTCAAGGCCCCTCCCATGCTAGTGGGTGTGCCCAAGACACAGGCTCTTCTCCTCAGTGACTACAAAAAAAACAAGACAAGTGTCCTCTGCAAGCTGTGGCTTAAGAGCATGAACTGAGGGCCAGGCTGGCCAAGGGTTTCAGTTGGGCCTTAGTTCTGTTCCTGTCACTGATACCCTGGGGTAACTTCAGAGGTTGCATCACTCCTGACCTGTGCTTGGTGTCCTCTGGGAGTCATTGTAGAGTCTTGGAGGTTTATTCCAGCCTGCCATCTCCCACTTCAAGGTGGATGCCCCCCAACTGATCTGGAGGGAGGGGAGCAAAGATGCCCAGCCCCCACTGTGAAGGATACCTGTGTCCTGACCCAGTCCAGCAGCTGCTATGTTTGTGTCCATCATGTGTTTGCCCAATGTAGTGAGCACAAGAACTCACCATTGGAGAGTCCTGGACCAAACCCCAAGTGTGTGGTGGCTTGACATATGGGGCCTGGGAGTTTTCCTGCAGGAGACCATAAGCAAATAGTAGACATGTCTACTGTGTGACCTCAAGAGTCTGTGTGACCCGTTGAGTCTGTGTGTGAGCCTGTGAGTGTGAGTCTGTGTGTGAACCTGTGAGGCAGGAAGACCTGAAACATCCATCTGAGCCCCAAAGGACTCCATGTTGGTTTTTATTGGGAGCGTATGGTTGGGAAGGACTGAGACTCATGACCTGGCAAACAGGTATCATTACCTGAGGAGGGACAGACAACATGAAAGGCAAGGATAGGAAATGAATCAAGTGACACCAAAGCTTAGGAATTGTTGCAGGGTGGGAGGTAAACAAAGCATGAACATACTAGACGCCAGGAGACCCAGGAGTCACACCTCTGCCTCGGTGGGTGGCTGGCCCTGCCCTTGTCCTGCTACCCACTCTACCTAAGCACCAAAGCTGAGCCTGTTTTGCCATTAGGAAACCAGGGTGGCCTTACCCAGAAGCATCTCATGACTTTTCTGGGGCTTATGTCCACAGGTTCCCTCAGAGATATGGAGGCTAGAGAAGAAACCCAGGCCATGGGCATCAGCCCCATGGAGCAAGAGGCCACATCCCCTGAGGCCCCAGCCATAGAGGAGTCCCCAAGCCCACCCAGAGAAGGTGAGTGTGCAGATCAGTGTCTTGCCTAGAGCTTGTGGGAGGACAGAGAGGGCTTCAGCAGGTAGCTGATGCTTAGTATCCTCCAGCTACTGTCCCCAGGACCTAAAGAGATCAGGGGAGAGGGGTATCTACTGTGCATGAGTTGGAGGCTCAACCTCATGCTAAGATAATTGAGGCCTGGGTGGGAAAAATCCTGTTCAGGGAAGCCATGCCACTCCCAGCCTGTTTACCACTGTGAAACGGTGTCCACAGGATCTGCAGGGCTGTGGCTTGGGGTCCATATACATCATCAAGCCGCACCCAGGAAGAGCTGTGAGGTTCTTAGGAGGCAAAAAACACACTGTAAACGATGAATTAAAGGATTGAGGCCCAGAGAGGTTAAGAAGTTTGTCTGGAGGGGTCACGGTTCATAACTCCAGCAAGGATCTGACCTAGGTCTGGGTTTAGACTCATCCCACTGTCACATTGTCCCCTTTTTCTCACCCTCACGACCTCCTCAGACTCTACTGGGCCTCCTGGTTGCAGTTTTCCAGGTGAGTGCATTTCTGAGGTTGAAAACATGCCATGGAAGGAAACCCCACAGACACCCACACCACCCAAACTCTAGGAGACCGGTTCAGGCTAGGGGCTGGATGTAGGACAGTGAGACTTCAGATGTGCCCTGAAGTCCTGGGAAGAGGGACCTCATAGAGGCAGAGTACTTGATAGACAGTATTTTGGAGGCCAGTGAGTTCTGGAGGGATGGTAGAGAGGTACCTAAGGAATACCTACATCCTGACTCAGCCTTGCCATGTCTGTCTGCAGCGCCGAGCTGCAGAAGAACTTCACTCCATACGCATGAACCCTTGTTCCACCTGCAGCCCCAAGCTACTATTCTTTGCAGAGTCTGAATTAGCCCCCACTAATCTCTTCCCACCCCAACCCCAGTGCCAGAGATTAAACCCAGGGCTTCAGGCATACTAGGCAAGCACTGTACCACTGAGCCACACCCCAACCTTGCCCACCAGCCTCTGATTGGACAGTGTAGCTATTGGACCACTGGGAGGATAATCAACTGGTGATGTGACCAGAAGTAAAGGAGAGACAGGTAGTGAACTTAAGCAGAGATCCCCAAGCAACCACCCGTACTATATACAAAGAAGGCTGGTACTCTGGCAGTAGTGCCAGCAAGTGTATAGGGGACCACAGGGATGAAGCAGAGAATGGACAGCAGACAGGGTAGAGGAGTACAACAAAGAGGACAAAGACCTGGGAAATGGCCTGACCAATAACATGCTTGACACAGGCTGGAGGACTGAGTTTGAGCCTCAGCATCTCTAAAATCTAAGTGTGGTGCTTATAATCCCAACACTGGGAAAGTGAACACAGGTGTGACCCTGGGTTCACTAGCCAGCCAGCCTAGCCGGATTGGGTGAGTCCTAGGCTAATGACGGACAGTATCTCAAAAAAAAACAGGTAGAGAACAACTAAAGAAGGACCTCCAAGGTTGTTCTCTGGCCACCACACATGAAAAGGCCACACACACACACACACACACACACACACACACACACACACACGCTGAGAGGGGGTAGGCTGGGGTAGAGGTGGAGGGTGGAGAAGAACAAGGAGGAAGGCGGAGGAGGACTATAATGACAGGACAACAGAGATGACAGACAGGGAATGACATAGAGGACAGACAGACATCAGAGAGAGACTCAGGGGTCTGAATGGGGAACAGAAACTCCAGACCCTCATTCCTGGGGACTCCTCACTGTGCTCCCCACCAGAGCATCAGAGTCCCTTACTCAACAGCTGCAGGCCAGGGACTCTCCCACTTCCCTTCTTTTTACCAGGCCCAGCACCCAGCCTGAGGCTCTGGCCCTTCCTTGACCAAAGCCCTCGGGGTCAAGCCCTAACTCCATCACCATCAGCTCTCCAGAGACACCTGCCCCAGGAGTGAGGTGGCCTGTGCAAGGCCAGTCTCCAGTCAGGCCCTTGTTCATTGTGACTGTTTTCTTTGCTTTTGCCGGCATACAGTACTGAGGGGTAAAGCTATCTATGGCTGGCTCTGGACCACCTCTCAGCCTCAGTTTCTACCAGATGACCTCCAGGAGAGCAGGTGCTATGCTCACAGGCTTGCCATCTTATCTCCTTCACCATCAGTGCTACCATCAGGAGCTGCACTAAGGCAGCTGTGGCCCAGCTGCCAAAGGGCAAGTGGTTGGCGGCTACTGGACTTTGACCCATGGCTTCCCGGGGAGCTGGCCTTTATCTGATTGGGGAGCTGGGGCTGCTGAGGGGGTAGGCGGGTGGGGCCGGGAAGGATCTGGGACAAACAGCCAGGCCTGCACCTGGCACCGGCGGCTGTGATAACGCAGTGATGGGCGCGATAACGGCGCAAGAGCATATCTGACATTCAGGCGGGTCCAGCACGGCTCCTCGCAGTGGCTGGAGCTCAGATGCCAGCCACTTTGATTTATAGCCAAAAATAATAGGACTTTTATACCATGGGATTGATTTATTTGATGTTAATCACAGCCCTTATCGTGGTATTAATAATCTGCTGTTCCCATGACGTCACCCAGGGGGCTTTACAGGAGCGCATCGATCGGGGGCCACACTGGTTATCTGGCTCGCCAGGAAGGCAAACATGCCCTTTGGGCTGGAATTGGGTGCGGGGCTAGTGGAGGGGCCCAGCTGTTACAGAGACCAGTGAGCCAAAGGCCACAGGCTTAGGTGCACTGGGTGGGCACTTGGCTGGGACAGACAGCAGCTAAGGCATAATTATTATTGCTGTGATCAGCAGGGGCTGAGGGCTTTACAAGACCAAAAGGAAACCTGCAGAGTTAAATGAGGCATGAGGGCAGGTGACTTTGTGCCACCTCGCCTCAGTTTCCCTCCTGGTCACAGGCTAGCCCAGAAAGAATGTGACATTATTTTTCTCTCTACAGATGTGAGTCCATCCACAGTGCCAGCACCCCCTGAGTCCCCAGAAGGTCCTGAGGATATGGAGGGGCAGGAGTTGGAGATGGGGCCCCAGGATGAAGAGAAAGAGGAAAAGGAAGAAGAGGCAGCCATTGCCAGTCCCTGGAGTGGACCAGGTAACCAAGCTGACTAGCCCAGCACAGCATTGCTATGACTCCAGGGCAGCCTTGTTACAGCCTTCTGGGTCAGTTGGGGGCTAGGCTATCTTGGATTCTTGGAGACCACTGGTACCCAGGTCTGTGCAGCTGGCCCAAGCAATGTGGTCTGAGTTGGTCTTCACAGTGCCCTCACCCTGAGCCTGTGGTGTAGGCAGAATCATTTGGAGGGTCTGGTGTGACTGGCAATGAGGACTGAGAGATGACAGCAGGGACAGGCACCTGGAGGGGTGTCTAGAGGATGTGGCTGGAGCTGCCAGTCTGGGGTCTTCCAAACAGCAGATGGTTGAGATTCTAAGCTGGGTAGTGCTCAGGTGGGCTCAGGCTTGTGTGAGAAGGAAAGCACCTGCTCTTCCTGGGGGCTTTTCAGCCCATTTGAAGTTCCTAGTTACCATCTGCCCCACAAGCCAATCAGGCCTGTACCTTTGTACATCTTCAGACAGTGAGTGCTGCTGGTCACATGCTAAGCTAGAATTGACAGCTGGATCTCAGCTCTCGCAGAATGTGGCAATCATGGTACCCTTGCTTCTGATAAACAGATACCATGGCCCAGGAGCACAGCGGGGGCGTCAGTGATTTCCAGGCCTCTTAGTGAGTGAGGGCTGAGGGCCACTGTGCAGGGCAAGTGGGTGAGATGGGATAAGTGGTGTACGTGTAAGTGGTATATCAATGAGGGAGGAGTTTGGAGCCTGAGCATGTGGGTGGGCCACACATGTGTGCATAGTCACTGAGTGTCATCTGTGTATGAGCTTCTAGGTGTTATCACAACCAGATTCCTATCCTTGGATAGAAGGCATGTCAAGGGTCTTGTCTTGCTGAGGGATCAGAGAAGGCTTTCCCAGGGCAGAGACCCTGTTCCTCCTCCCCCCCCCTCCGGGAACTTGGGACCCAAATTGGAAAAGGGTAGACTTTTAACTGGACACTTAACTGAACATATGAGTGTTTGGGTGGGGTCCTAAGGCATTAGAAGAATACAGGCGTCAGTTGGTGATGTTAAGTCCAGTCATGGAATGTCCCATGGCTGGTGTCCTGGGGCACTCCCCTCTGCCATCCCTTAGTCCATTGATGCTTACCACCTCTCAAGGTTCTAGATGACCTGGCAGAAATGTATGGCAAAGATGTCCACTCCTCTGGAGGTATATGGTGGGAGTTGGTCACTGACCCAGGGTCCTAACTCAGTTGAGGCCAGAGTCCCCAGATCACAGTACCATGATAGGAGTAATTGTACTTCATCACTTGATCACAGGGTGCCAGGGCCTTTTGCACTCACATGCCCAAAGCTATGGAACTGGGCAGAGCCTTGTGTTCAGACTGCCCAGCTTCTAACCAGCCCTGTGATCAGTTTCTCCAGCTAGAAGGGTGACTCAGCACCAGGAGTCCCTGTGTGTCTCTGTTCCATGTCCACAAGCATAGAGTGGACAATGCCTTCTGGGGATGGCAAGGATCATGTGTATCTATGGACTTCAGTGGCCACTGAGCAGGTAGAAGGCATAGACGGTCCTTATATCAGCCCCATGGGGCCAGCACAGCGTCATACCCACTTCAGTGCAGGGCAGGGCAGTCCACATCACTGGCTGGGAACTGTGTCTTGCTATAGAGGTTCAGATGCCAGGTCACCAACATCCAATTATCCACTGTCCTCATCCACATGAGTATTATTACTTCATTTTTTAGATGGAGAAGCCCTTGTAGTTTGCCCTGCCCCCCTGTGAAGGCCATGCTCCATGGACTGTGGTTTGGGGTCAGGGTGCACCCCAGCTTCCCGAGTTATTTGCATCCCCAGGGCCCAGGCAGTACCCTATCGACTCCCACAGATAGGAATTCTGTGTAGTGGGCAGCGATGGGGTTGATAAGTGGCCGCTGGCCAACCGCCGTGGTAGCCATTGCCTATCAGCTCCCACACAGGCCCTGCTTATCACCCAGTGGGGAAGCTGCTAGAGAGGCCCAGGGGGCTCTTATCTCCAGGGCTGCCCAAGCCTGTGATGGGGTTGTAGGGTTAAGGCCTGAAGGCAATGCCCAGTCTGGTGACAGACCAAGTGACCACTTTTGCCTTGCTGGTTGCCTTTGACTCTTTCTGACCTCTGGCCTGTAGCCCCATTCCAGAAGACCTAGGAACCTGTGCTAGGGACCCTGCTTGAGAGGCATCTTCTACTGTTACTCTCTGAAGAGAAGGTATAGAGCTGGCTTCAACTCTTAAGTCTTCCTCTGGCTCTGTCTGGCTCAGAGAAGTGCCTGGGCCTGAGCCCATTCCCATTTGCTCTGTCTGAAGTGGGTAGTCTCTGGACCTAAGATGGAGCTGACAGTCCAGAGCTGACCTCTCCAGAGGGCTGTGCCCATACTGAACACCATCTCATGTTGTGACCCAGGCTTGTAAATATAAGGGGTCACCCATCAGATTCCTCTCCAGATGAGATAAGACTTACACAGGCCCCAGAAAGTGACTGTCCAAGAGCCTGGTCTTATTACTTCTTCATAGCTAATATATATATGTGAGATAGCTCATCTCCTGATGACCCAGGCCTAGAGCAGATGAAGAGAAGTCCTCCAGGAAAAAACTGGCAAAATGGCTTAGCAATTAAAGTGTTTGCCACATAAGCATGAAGATTGGTGTTTCACATAAATGCTAAGTAGACATGGCAGCCTACCTGTTGTAGTTCTAGGCGGACACAGAGGATCCCCAGAGCAAGCTAGTTAACAGTACTGGCCATTAGTGAACTCTGTTTGCTTGAGAGCCCCTGCATCAGTGAATAAGGTAGAAGAGTGATCAAGGATGACTCCCAGCATCAACCTTGGGCCTACATGCACACACACACACACACACACACTCATGCACAGGAGTAGAAAAAAGGCAGGGGAAGGCCTCCAAGAAACCCCCATGTCGCCTCCTAATTTCCATGCTTCCAGTGATACCCAGGGGCAGTCACTTGACTGCTGCAGACCCGAGTATAGTTTCACTTACTCAAGAGCTCTATAAACACTAGAGTGCTGTCCCAAGGTTGTATAAATTACCATCACTGTCATGATTCCCTATCCTCTCATGGTTCTATCACTGCACCTAGCTCCCTCCTGCCCCTGCCTGGTACTTGATGACTGTAGCACTCTACAGTCTGGGTAGTTCACGATGGCATTTTTGTTCACTGCCTAGAGTTCTGTGTCTTGCCAGATACTGGCCACTCAGTCTTCCATGCTGTTGCTGTGAGAGGCAAGAGCCCAGATTTGCTGAGTGTCTATGGGCAGGCTGCTGACCTCTGGACCTCAGTTTCATCTTCTGTATATTGGAGTTGGGGAAGAGTTGTGGTCCTCCAGCTTGTCACCTACTAGGTGGCCTGGTTTCCCTCACACAGGGTGCAGGCAGGTTCAGAAACTCCTCCAGCAGATGATTTTGCATTATATTTGCACTTGAGCAACAAAATTGGCAATGTCTTGTTGCAGATCTGATGACTGCACCTGCCCAGAGTCCTACTTTGTATTGAACCCTCAGTGTAGTCTCAGCACCCTTTCTGGACAGTGGGGATGGTGTAGCCCTATGTAGATTATAAAACCCCAGGAAAGTGCCTTCAGGCACACATGATAGAAGTCCGTAAGTGCACAAAACAGGGAAGCCCTACTGTCAGTGCTCAAACAAACCAGATGGTGCTCTGTAGAATGAGGGTGGCTTAGATGGTCCTTCTAAGCCACACTGTGTCTTGCTGTCTGAGTGGTTTGTAGATGCCAGAGAGGGGAGCTTACAAGAAAGGAATGGCCATGTAAAGACCCAGAGAACTTGGAGCCTTAGCAGTCCGTGAGCCAAGGGAGAGTGGACTCAGAGGGGCTGCAACCCAGGGCCCTGTAGATTTGGGCCTGAGCCTAGCAGGTGAGGGGAAAACAGAGACGAATGGAGCAGGAGGGCTTACATGCCCCTGTGGTTTAGCAGGGACACACCCTGGGTCTGAGGGGCCACAGATCATAATGTGGACCCAAACCTCTGGGAACTTGTATACAGGGCTCGGGATACCCTTGCTGAGACCCAACCCTGGCTTCTCGTGGTCCTCAGCTGAGGTCTAATTGGGAAGAAGAATAGAAATGAAGAGAGTCTGGGTTGTCATCTTTGAAATCACCTTCTTTGCAGGAGTGATAGCTGTTTCAAATCCAGGTATGCAGAAGGCTTGAAAGTAGATCTGTAACTTTGCACAGCTACCTTATTGTGGGATGTGGGGACCTGTCCCCAGTGCCTGGTGCCCCTCAGTGTCACACTCCTCCTATCACTTTCCTTAAAGTCAGGAGGACGTAGCTTGCAGATACACCAACCCTGTCAGGATACAAGTCCCACCCAACTCTGTCTGCCCTTCCTGCCCTGGTCCCCATGGCCTATCTGGCATGGTCTTGAACAAGTGTCTGGAAGAAGAGCAGAACCAAACAGGCTCAGAAGCTCCTGTCAATCAGGTAGCATGGTATGGGGTCCTCTTCCTTGGAATTCCTCCAGGGCTGGCCTCAGCAAAGGAATTGATAGCCTACCTAGTTCCTTCCACAAGACTCCATAGATTGGGGGATCTGGGACACAGAGGAACAAGGACCTTTCCAGGCCTCCCAAAGACAGCATGCGTGCCATCAGTACACCAGCTATGTGATGTCTGCCTGTGCCAGCAGAGTGACACTCCATCTGTAATGAGTCTCCCACTGGATATGAATGTCTGGAGGCCAGTGCAGGTATTAGGATGGGAAGCAAACTGACTCACTATGGGGGCCCCAAACCATCCCCTGAGGTATGCTTTCCTGTAAAGTGAATGGAGAGACCCAGAGAGTTCCACCCGCTGTCAGTATGAGTGCAGCCATAGCTAGCAGTGGGAGTCGGGAACCACCAGGACTTCAGCAGTGTTCTGCCCTGTGGGTGTCTTGAGCCTGGAGCTTATTCTGGTCACTGTTTGAGAGCAGGATCCAGGGGCAGATTCTGAAGTTGAGGCAGACCATAAATAGAAGGGCAA